GTTTAGGCTACAGTCCCCATTGTAGTTCCTTTTGGGGGCTACCTTGTAGGATCCTAAGTATATAACTGGTGAAACCAAAAATAACCCCTGGATCCCCAAAGGCGCTTCTAGTAACAGGCTCTCAGACAAAGCACGTTCCCGGAACAGGCGTTCGTGATTCACGGTAGGGTCGGTTTCTGTACAAGATAGCATCAAAAAGCTTGCCATCGAAAGCGTATGCACACATAAGATAGGTTAGGGCGGTCTGTGCACGATCGCCTTTGTTGGGTGTTGGGTTTCATGTGCACGAGAAACTAATATGGTGTTAGCATCCGTTGCGCCACATGTGCACGGAGAAAGGTGTGCGTGCCGGTTCAATATCGTTTGGTCTTCTTTTCTTTTCATACTCATGATGATCTGCACATACTTGTTGAGATGTGTGATTACAGTCTTCTTCTGCGTCTTGTCACTTGGACCGTCTCCTTGAGACAGAAATTTGCACTCCACACCCCTCAGCATTCTTATCGTGTCGGGAGCTCATTCCAAGTGATTGAGACTTCAAGTTCATTGGATTTCTGGCAACAAGTGCGAGCACAACTTCCAGGCTGTTTCGCAAAGTGTTTGCAACCGGGCACAAACTGAAAAACTGCACGAACTTACACTACTTCGTGATATAGTTCGTTATTGTAACAAAGGAGCGTAGTGGAGAAAGGTATATAGTTTGAGCTTGCATAAACGCTGATTGAGGAAGTGATACATTCGAACTACGACTGCTACCAAGATTGCTTTAGTAATGGCAGTGTCGTTCGCATGATCATGCATGGATATAGAGCCACTCTGATAATGGTGTGCTGGTGACAGGGTCTTCTGTTGATGATGGTGCAGCTGCTGATGCTGCTGCGGCTGCTGATGTTGATATTGTCGATGATGCTTCTTGGTACCCCCTCTCTGATTTCATATGTTAGCACTGCAACAGTTCTGGTATCGATATGTCATTAAACCACGTTTCTTGTCAACATATGATAGCTGTTGTGATCAATATCTGTAGCTTTGTCATCCTTACCATCTTCATCTTCATCATCATCTTGGCCACGTGTTCATCTTTTCATTCCTGTTGCCACCACCAGCCGTAGAAGTCATCCCTGTTGTTATCGTCATCATGCAGAAACATACTCTGCATCTTCACATGTAGCACTGTTCGTATTTGCACCTTGCCTGCTGGCGACATTGCCGTCTGTGCGGGCGGTGTTGTCGCTTTTGCTATCATCATTTTTGTTGCTTTTGTTGCTGCTCCAAGTAGCATGATGTTTTCCAGCACTCGTGTTTACAGTACAGTAGATATGCACATACACCTGGTGTATATGTGTAAAGTGTAGACATATAAAACTATCTATATATGTATATGTATATATATATATATATATACGTAGCGATACACACTTCCCTAGACATTCACAGATTGTCGTTGCTGCGTGGGTTGGCTTGTTTCGTGATTGCTTCTGTTGTTGTGGGCACACATACCACGCCCCGAATACCGCCGACAGTGTCGTTGTTGCTATGTTTTGCTGTCATGAACGATATCATTGTTTTGTTGTTGCAGCTGGGGTTTGCAGTTACTTCTTACACACTCCATGCTTAACTATGGTGTATCTCTTTGTTGCACTGATTTGTGGTGATATTCTAATCATGGTTGGGCTCTGTTGCGTTTCTGACTTTCGTACAAATCAAATTTCCTGCTTCTCACAACTGTTGGTAAACCTTGTGGCACTAGAGCTAATTCCTACACTGTAATTCCTCTGCAATTGAGCAGATCAGGCCCCGTCAACCGTTAACTCGGTATATCACTTTTTGATGCGAAGAAAGTCTCGTTGTCGATATTTTGCCTATGGCGTGCTGTGGTTTTCTTGAAAGCAGCACCGTGATTCACGCTGTTTTTGGGCCTTTGACTCCAGGAGGCTCAAAAAATCATCTCGGGCGCAAAATCAAAATCCCGAAACAGGCGCTCACGAATCTAAACCGGCTTTCACGGATCCAAACCGGTTTTCACGGTCATTTCACGCGTGATTCACGGTGTTTCACGGCGCTTCTGTGCAAAAGACACGCTGTCGTAGCTATGCTCAACTTTTGACCGATGCAACCAAACTGGTGTGAATCACGCATTTCTGTGTCGTGAATCATGGCTTGTGTTCTTGTGCATCGCCTGACCCCAACCCCTCCTTAGACGCGCCGAAAGTGGGGGTTGGACATGCATTTGCATGCGTATTCCCAGCCTTACGTCAATGAGTCAAGTCCCGTGTACATCTCGCATCGTTATTGTTCCTATGATGCCATGGCCCGTGCCTTCATAACTGCTCAGGTTAAGAAAGTTGTTAGTTGGAGTTGTACTGATGCTAGTACTGTTCAGACCACGACTTGATACCACATAAGTTGCTGTTGGCCGTGGTAGTCGTCATCGTGTTTTTTGTGTAATTCTTGCAAATCCGATGTTTCTTTTCAAGCGGTAACGCAACCTTCAAAATGTCAAAGTCAAAACCGTGTTCGCGCATACCATCATCACCATCATCAACCTCACCATCATCACTATCGTCGTCATTACGGGCACCATCACCTTGTTCATCACCAGGACCAGCAGTATTCGCCATCCTACGTGGTTGTAAATATCTTGATGTGGTGCCGATGATTCCGCGCGTGTGTCTGTGTGTGCTGTGTCGGTGGGTGTTGCTTATGATACCATCAAAATGACTACGATGGTCACAGTTTGCACAACAAACATCATGATTCCTCTTACTGGCCACTGTTGTTGTCCTATTGTAATGGCCGTTAATCTGGTTGCATGATGTTGTGTTCTTTCGTATGTTGATCGCTGCTGTAATTGGGAGCATGAATATGGCATAGTAGACGGGAGTAGCACCATCGTTGTGCACACGAGTTTCAGTTGCGCATGCAGAAGTGCTTGCTAATGTGTTGCATATGTTGGAGCAAAGGTCTCTCTGCAGGCTCCAAACTCCAAACGGTGTCTAGTATAATTATGGTGGATGAATAAACACGCATTTCATGCTAACACAGCCTGTGTCATGTTTGTTCTGTGACGCTTTATGCTGCGAACACTGTCTTACAGAGCACATACAGCAGCCCGCTCGCTCTCTGTCTCCTCTCTCTCTCTCTCTCCCTCCCTCCCTCCCTCTTTCAGTCACACGCACACACACTAAAGTCACTAAAGAACAGACAAACTAGACTTACACACTCTCATTGTAGGTTGGATATGTAGAAGCGAAAAATTAAACATCTTTTTCTGCACACACGTATTCTTGCATGTCATATGTATACTGTGTGTATATCTATATATGTATATGTATGCCGTATAACGAAAATCTGGGTCGTACAGTATGATGTACATGCGCCACCGTCTTCCTTGCCAATCTAGCTCCATATACCCTGCCTACACATATTTGCTGACTTTGAGTTTTGTACCCTCTACGGTTCTAAATCCGCCTTCTTAGGGCTACACTACATCAGGTCACCATGCATTGTTTGCTTCCACTGGAGCAGTATTGCTGGCGGTTGTTTTGCTCAGACATGTTGTGTGACAACTAACTGCATTGTGGCCTTTCCCTGTTTTGTTTTGTTTAGACAACATACGAAAGGTTTGCCATCCAGGTACAGCACAATATAATTTCGTGGAGTTGACATTGGACGCTTTGACAACCAATTAGGCGATGACATCGTGTAGATTGCTTAGAGATGGCAGTTGTCCAAGGGCACTGCTTTCGGACCCCGGCCCCGTACGGTTGATATGCTATCGACGGTTTTGTGCGCTCGACGGTTTCTAAAACAGGCGCGGACGCCCAGGGTAACTACAATGGAGACTATAGGTAGAGGCCTTAATTAATAGAATAGGGTTTTTGGGGAGTTCCTTATAATACAGTATACCCCCACACCCTGTTCTAATTATTAAAGCCCCTAAAGTATGGGGTCTGACATGGGGACCTGAAGCAACGGACGCAAAAGCGTGAGGGGGGGGGGGGGGGGGGGGGGGAGTTTCCGAAAACGGGGGACCCTAATATAGCACCCTAAATAGTAGGATCCTTATTATCAGGACCCCTAAAATAATTGGTACCCCTAAATTTTCGGAAATCCCAAAAAACCCTAAAACCCTTTATAGAAGCCTTTTAGGTCCCTTTAAAGGAACCCTTAAAGGACCCCCTAAATGAAGTTACCCCTAAATCTTCGGAAACTCTCCGATCTCCAGAGCGAGGGGGCCGTTGAGGAGTTCACTCCTCGAGCCCCAGAGACTCCGATATCCCTTAATAAAGGAATCTTCCTTCAATTATATGGTAGGACCCCTTATATGATTTAAGGCAGATCCCTTAATAAAGGAATCTTCCTTAAATTATGGTAGGACCCCTTATCTGATTTAAGGTATATCCCTTAATTGAGGGATATTGGAGTCTCTGGGAAACCTCGACCCTAAACCCTCAACCGCTAGCTGGCTGTTGGGTCCTAGGCTTGAACATGCTAGCGCTATAGGGGTTCTAGGGGCTCTAAAGTTTCCCTAGATCATGCTGACCCTGATTTTCGGATTGAAGGTTCGTGGCGAGCCCTCCCAGAGACCCTACCTCCAGTACTGTTGGGGCCTCAATAAAATTAGAATAGGTTTTGGGTTCCTTTATAGTATACTTATATTGGGGAACCCTGATGAATAATGTTGATCGTTGTCTTTACACTTCAAGGCTATACTGTGATACTTGTGATACTTGTCACGAAAACATGCCAACCGGTCCCCCAATTCACTTCTGTTGAGGGTGCACGGTTTCGGGTACGCGACTGGGCCCCAATCCTAAACGGTCCCAGTCACGGGGGGTGGGGGGTTGAGGGTTCAGGATATCATCTGAAACACGCGCTTCGAGAAGAGACACCCTGTTCGGGAATCTGTTGAGCCACCCGTGTCCATCAGACGCAGCGGCTTCATGTAAATAAAAAACTCAGCGAGTCTACAGATGACAAGGCGGAACTACAGCATGTCATGCTGCACTTGTTTTGTTTGTTGCTCCTGGCCCTTGTTTGAGGGGCCTTGCAAGCACGTAGCGGCTGACTACTGCGAGGCACAGAGTCACGCCCCAGAATAAACCGGCTGCGATCACTGGCTCTTGAGGAATGACTTGGTATAGCTGCGCTTGAAGGGCATGCCTAGTTCATGGTTGGGATAGGATTAAAAATGTGCGTTTTTATTCTTTATTGGGTCTAAGTACCAATAAAAACGCAAAATGTTATCCAACTATGACAAAGATGCGGGAAAAATGCAGACGCCCCAATGGCAATGTAGCCGCAACAAGTGGCAACAAAGCGAACAACGAGTGACTTCGTTTGACAGATCTCCATCCAGTAAGCAATCCTGAACAAGACCAAATAGTGCATTGGCACGACCCACAGAAACCAAGCCGTCGTGGTAACCACAATAGAGGCTGCCAAACTGTGGGCACCACCATGTGCCCGGGCCGCGATTGCATCGAGCTGTCCCCAAACAATACACGTCGTCACCCCAACCTGGATCAAGCCGAGGCAGCTCTACTTCACTACTGCTGCTGCCTCCTACTCCGTCTCAGACTCGTACTCCTACTCCTGGTCCCGCTTCTGGTCCTAACACAGCAGCAACACCAACAGCAACAGCACCAGAAACAGCAGCAACAGCAGCAGCAGCAGCAACACAGCAGCACAGCAGCAACCGCAACAACAGCAACAGCAACGACTACCACTACCACTGTACACAACACTAACATTATCACCACCACCACCACCACCACCACCACCACCACCGCCGTTAACACCCTAGCGCACATACTCTCAAGCAAGCGACAGTCCACCGATACCCGAGAGGAAAGCGGGTCACCTGTTCAATGAAAGCATCGTGCACATGGGTGCGGACACTCCGCTCGAACTCTTCCGCGGAGCCGTACCACTCGACAATGCAATCTTTGATTATCTCCTTGGCAGATCTAGCGCCCGATTGGGAATCCTACGACATCCTACCATGTGGGGCTCTATGTTGCGGTCCCTAGTCTCCGAAGCTCCCACAGTAGCCCAATGAATGCTGAATCACTATTATAGGCCTCAGTTAGCCCCTGCTCAGACAAGCCGACCTTGACGACACGTGGAGGCTGTCAGAGCTAGTATCCGCCAAAATGAAACCTCCCGGAAACACTCACAGGCATTCCTCCGAAGTCATATATGCACCCCAAACGCCGCGCCATAAGCCCTGCCCTGATATATGACCAAACAAGGCTCCATGTCGCAGGTGATGGTATTGCCTGCCTCGTCCAGGTGGTTGACGGAACAGCACCAGCACTTAACCTTCTGCAAGCTGAAGGTGCGAAACTGCCTCTCGGCATCCACAACCGCTCGCCAGAGGCGCCGGAGAAGATAGACGTTAGGAAGCTGAGACAAGGCAAACAGGAATATCCGCAGAAAGGCAACCACATCTGTATCAGGCAGGACGGTTTCAAAGAGAAGCAGGAGGACAACATTCGCCACGAGCAAGAAAGTCACTGGTACCAGCACAGAAGGCTTGATGACCAAGCGCTTCATGAGCAAGCTGGACTGATCTTCACGATGGCCGTGAAGAAATGCTGCAAGCTCGAAAACGCACCAGAGCCTCCAGCGGCCGATTGCGATCCAAATCAGACTCACATCGTTAAACCTTATGACCTTATACGCCCTAAACTGACAACCACCATGTGGTTCTAGAGAACTTATACCGGGAGACTTCTCAAGCCTATGGAAATAATATTAAAAAGGTACATAGACCCGAAATCTCATAGTTTGCTCTTGGACCCCTCAAAGGAGCCTTGTCATATGTACATGAACTCTTCAAACAACACCTGAAATTCTGAAATGAACGTAGTCCACTTTAAAGGGATCCCTACAGGAAAACATGACTTCCAGAGCTCTAAGGGTCCATGTACCCAAATAGTATATACTTTGGCCCCAATGTACCTATATAGGGACTACTTTAAGGCCAATGTATATACTATTTAGGTACATGGACCCTTAGGGGAGCTGCGGCCTGGAGAGATACGACGGATCCCACACGACCACCAGCGTCTGAGACTTCTTCAGCAACGCCCCGAGATGTAGGATGCCCTGTAGTTTCAACCTTCAAGGATGTACTCAGGGTTCAAAATTGAAGAACCTACCTTTTTAGTGTTCCTTAATATAACTTCCTTATATAAGTCCTTAAAAATGTAATTCTTCCGGGTCAAGGTAGGGTTTAGTGATGCTCTCTGCTTTCAACCTTCTAGGGTTTAGCGTTTAGGATGCCCTGTAGCTTCAACCTTCACGGGTTTAGGACTAATGTGTCTATAGTAGAAGCCAGAAAGTTGGAACATGGGTTTAGGAGGAATAGTGCTAGGATCCCTTATATTCTACCTTAAGGGCATGAGGATAATGATGTTCCAACTTTCTGGCTTCTACTGTAGGGCTAGCACAACCCAGCCTCAGATTCCAAAGGTCCGGGTTGCAGCATTTGAGGCCTGCTTTGCGCTTACCTTAAGGACGAAATGAACCCTAAAAGGGTTTAAGGTTCATATACCATTATAGGGATTCATAGTATATGGGTATAGGGCTCCTACTTTTAAGGGTCATTTGGTCCTTCAGGTAGAGTCTTATGAGTTTCTGGCGAAGTCTTCGGCGCGCATAGCTTGGGGAATGCAGTACCCTGAAACCCTAAGGCTCCATGTACCCTTATAGTATATAAAGTACCTATACAAGGACCGCTTTAAGGCCTAAGTATCTACTATAACGGTACATGGAGCCTTTGGGAAACCCAATAAATTCCCGTTTGCAGCCTCAACCCTGAACTCTGAACTCCAGACTCACAAACTCCCATGCGCTACAACACTAAATCAAAGGGGGAAAGGAGGGACCCTTAATGGGGACCCCTGCTCTATAATTAATGGGCTATATAATGGGTATATAATGGCTGTATTAGGGGTATGTACCTAGGCGTCCTCATTAGGGGTCCCTCCTTTTACCCTTTGACTAAATGCAAACACACCCTGGGCGCTAGAATGCTAGAATTTACCCGACTCATCTCAAAGTACCGGGGTACTAGACTGTGGCCAAAACGGGAGAGAACCGTAGGCCCCAAAGCCAACACCCAAAGGGTCCTAGAGATTGTTATGGGGGATACGTCCCCAAATCATAATAGCAATTCCTAATACAGAAAGTTGTTATGGGGGATACTTCCCTAAATCACAATAGTAATTCCTAATACAGAAAGTTGTTATGGGTTATATTTGCCTGAATCATAATAGTAATTCCTAATACAGAAACCCTACAATCCACTGCAAAGGTACTTTGGACCCTTGGGGACAAGCCATAGGTGGCTCTAGCTGCCCGCCTGTCATTTCCTTGGTGGATGCAGGCACGATCCAGGAAAACCTTCGTCTGCAAGAAAGGGTCATGTGGGAGTTTCCGAAAATCGGGTACCTTATTTTGGAGCCAAAAATAGGATCCTACTATTTAGGGTACTATATTGGGGCCCCCTGTTTTCGGAAACTCTCATGTCGGTTTAGGGTGCAAGGGTGAAGGGATGTTTCGGGATTCAATTCAGCACCAAATTAAGCTCTCTAAGCCTTCAACATATTCTGTCTTACCACTGCCATTGACAAAGAAACTACCTCTCCCACTGGCCTTCAAACAATAGCAATAGCACTGCCGCCAAAACTACCATTATGCCCTTATGCCATATACATGCACTAACAGTGAACAAGCGTCACAACGACCATGACGACCAGTGGGACTACCACAAGACGACCACAATCAGGATACCACGCGGAGGCCGCCAGGAAACCGAGACACTACCATCAGACCACCAGGAGACCAACAAAAACTCAAGAGACCACAAGCGCACGGCCAGATGGCTTTCCAACATGTACTGGCGGATTCGAAACCACAGCCACAATCCTTCCCTGAAGTACTGGCGGATTCAGGGCACGTTGACAAGTAATTGCTGGGGAATCAGGAGCACAGGTGCCACTGACAACAAACATTAAAAAAGCGTAATAAGCGAACACTATGTGTGAGGATAGAACTGTTGTTGCTAGGATTACTGGTGTCTCTTCTGCTTGTTGCTGCGACAACGATAAGGTAAGAACATGGAGGAGCAGGACTGGACTCGAAGTCTTGGCAAAGGCCCACCATAGGGTTTTGCGGCTTAAGAGTCTTGGGGGTTCGGGGTTCAGGGTTTGCCTTAACCCTGAATAACCTCCCTTTTTAGGGTTCCTTATTTTGATTTCCTTATATGTAAGTCCTAAAAAGGTAGGTTCTTCGGGGTTAAGGTGCCGTTTAGGGGTTAAGGGTTTAGTGTCTTGGGGTTCGGGGTTTTTGGTTCAGGCACCTTGCTCGAAGACTGCCAGAAGAGCAGGAGGAGCAGAGCTGAAGCGCATCCGCTCAAATTCGCCCATGGACTGAATCTGAACCTTAGTTCCCAGAATGTAAAGTAAATCTTGGGTACGGCCCCCATACAGTAACACTCGATAATAGGCCTACTATTAAGGGCTTTATATATCTATATTATGCATATCCAACTGTTACTGAGTGGGGGCCGTACCCAAAGTAAATCTATTTTCGAACAGGGGCTGCCTAGATGACGACTTCTTAGATTCTCCAGTGTCGGCCAGCAGGCTCTCCACTGTAACCCGGTCCTTGAAGTCGTGGTTCCTTGTACCTGGCGATCCGAGAATTGTGGAACAACATCCCCTAAACCCTAAACCCTAAACCTTACAAACCGGCACAGTAGGAAGACAAAAGGGCTGGAAAGTGTGGCAAATGGTAGTGGTGGTGGTATTGACAATCGCGCTTGTCGTATGAGATTCATGTCATGAGGCCGAATAGGGTTTCAGGCTTTAGGGTTCGACACCCTAAAGGGGGTATAATTTACCTTAAAGGGCTTACGATAATGATATTCCAACTTTCTGGCTTCTACTGTAGTGTACTGGGCCGAAACAGAAACAGAATGCAGACGGTCCCAGGCACCATCCAGGCAGGACATCCTCGTACGAAAGGTATGCCAGGAGCAAGGCCACCTAGGATACCCAGTAACCTAAGAATAAAAAGGGCCCTCTCTTTTTTGGTATTGGGTAACTTTAGAAGGAACCTAGGACTACAAAAAGGGAATAAGGGTACTACTGGGCATCCTAGCCACACATGTACCGCCCACGCAAGCAGCGCGACCGTTTTTCAGCATGAGAAGAAGCCACACCTCGGGGGGAAGCTGCCGATGCAGGTGTAGCCTCCGCCCTGCGCTTGTTTGTGACAGTAGCCATGACGGAATGTTGCAAGCGCCGACTGTGAGAGGAAAACTACTGCACTCCTATACCCTCAGCCTTAAAACCCTAAGGGTCCATGTACCCAAATAGTATATACTTTGGCCCCAATGTACCTGCATAGGGACTGCTTTAAGGCGCAAGTATATACTATTTGGGTACATGGACCCTTAGGGAAACATTAATCCTCACAGTGCGAAGCCCAACATCGCCTTGAGGAACAGAACGCTGTGCCAGCTATGCGACCAGAACTCATCGATGGAGTCCACCTGCACACCAAGACCCACTCCCGCTGCACTAGCTACTCATTGAAGCATGATACCGGGTAAATGCTACAGATTCTACAGCATGGTAGATTTATGATCCCTTAAGTTATCCTCAATGCAAAAGTTCTTGGAGCAAGAGACACTGCCTACCCACCATACTACAAGCCAGGTGCAAACTACCTAGAACTACTAAACCCTACTTTTTGTAGGTTCTTATTGTAAACCTTCATAACAAATCTATAGGAACCCTACAAAAAACAGGTTTTGGTAGCTTGAGGTACCCATCAAAAGAGCCACCAGCATCTCCGCAAACATCGTGTCGCCAACGTCATCACCACCACAAAAAATCGAGCTGAAACGGACCTTCTGAATCGGGACACCCCTACATGCGCTGATACTATAGGACAGGCAGATGAAGTTCGGAATGTATATAGTTGTGGATTGTACCAATCACGAAAACACGAATCAAACAACACTGTTCCGAAGACAGCTGCCTGTTGAATGCACGTGTGCTATATTGGCTACTGCTGCATCCCAGCGCAACCTGTACAAGTCAGATAGACACGATGAGGACACCACCACTAAGCTTATTGTTTCGCCCCACAGTCAGTAGTAGCCAATTGTGGCCATCGCTCATCACCATCAACATCAGCATCAAAAATATATTGATCGTCGTTCTCATCAAACACCACACCATGCTGATCGCCATCAACTGCACCCGCATCATCACCATCATCACAATCACTGTCGCCAACAGCAACAGCGTCGTTCAACATGGTCAGCATGGACATCGACAACACCGCCAGTAATTATTGGCATATCTATCTGTCTCCTCGCCATCACGAGCATTGTCAACAGACATCACCATTACCACGCTGTGATTGCCAAATTAGTCAGTGACAGGCTCTTAACTCTTGAAGTAACACTTCATTGTGCCTTGTCCGTCCAGAACTGAGAAACCACGGCTGGAGTGACATGTATGAAATAAGTGTAGAAATCCCGACAACAGTGGGACACACTAAGGCCAGTAGCAAGGATCTATCTAGGGATGCGAGGAGAGAAGCCAAACAAAGCGCAACGTAGGATCCAATCATAGCCGTGATTAAGAGAACTCCTCAAAGAACTACGTAACTTCTACGTAACCACCTCCCAGAATCATCAATCATCGGCATAGTCGCGCTGTTAGTCCGCACAGTGAAACGAGATCTTCGAAGCTGAAGCGACCGTTACGAATACAAAAACAACGAAGACGAGGCCGCAACCCAAAACCCCAAAACCCCAAACCCTAAACCCCTAAACCCCAAAACCCTGAAAACCCCGAAAGCCCAAACCCTTAACCCTAAACCCTAAACCCCTAACCCCCAAACCCCAAAACCCTAAACCGAACCCCCGAACCCAAGACCTGAAAACTCATCGAGTAAAGCTCATTTGCATCCAGGCCTAGGCTGTTCAACAACGCACTGGGTAAAAGTATATGTTTTAGGATTCTTCTAAGGGCAAAAGTATATGTTTTCGGCTTCTTATAAGGGCAAAAGTATATGTTTAGGCTTCTTATTTTAAAATAGGAACCTAGAAACCTGAAAGTAAAAGAGTGTACCACTGAACAGCCTGGAGGCGGGTGTTTCGGAGAACTTGGCCGAAGCTCCGGAGCACGGCCCAGGCAGGCACGGCGCGGATGAAGCTGGCATCAGTACCTCATAGGGATCCTTAGGGGTGTAGGGGGGAGGGGTGTAGGGGACTATATTTCCTTAAACAGGCCTTATTAGTCCTTATTATGGGCCTTAAGGCCCCCTACCCCCCCCCCCCCTACACCCCTAAGGATCCCTATGAGTACCTAAGTAGTCTTCCGGCTTTAAGGCTTCGGGTTTAGGGGTTCAGGGGTTTAGGGTTTAGTGTAGTGCCTAAGTAGTCTTCCCTTAAACCCCCGGCTGCCTGTGCCCGTGTGGTTATAAAGGCACAGTCTAGAAACGACCGTGTAGTGAACTGCACCTGCTCCTTCTTGGCGGCTTAGCTCATGGGCGACGGAAGCTGTCTCAGCTCATGCTTGTCATGATAGGACTTACGATCCCGGCTGTGAATACAGAATGCCAAATACAATCTAGGTAAACCCTGAACCTTATAAACCCTATATGAACCCCTTAGCAACCCCACAAACCTTATAAACCCTATATAAGCCCCTTAGCAACCCTACAGTCTGGGTGCATTCCATGGCAGAAACGGCAGACACAGCCAACTGCCTCTCCTGGACTTGGAACCCACCAGGGAGAAAAAAAAGTGCAGACTTTCATTTCATGATGGTTCCTTTACCCTAGGGCTCAAAATGGCCCAAAATCCTTATATAGTATGGTCTTTGGGCCCAAAAGCCATAATAGATGAGTCCTTAGAGCCTTAGGGTCAAGGAACAGGTATATAGCAAAAAAAGTATTCAAGCCTAAACCCTAAACCCTAAACCCAAGTATGGTAAAACCAGGTCTCCCTTTCCAGGGAAACCTCCGGCTGCAGTTCCTCAGGAGCTTCCTCTGGCTCTATCCTTGGGTTTAGGGCTTCGAGGGCTTCTAGGGGTTTTAGGGGTTTAGGGCTTCTAGGGCTTCTAGGGTTTAGGGGTTTTAGGGGTTCTAGGGGTTTAGGGTTTAGGGGTTTAGGGGTTCTAGGGGTTTAGGGTTTAGGGGTTTAGGGGTTCTAGGGGTTTAGGGGTTTAGGGGTTGGGGGGTTTAGGGGTTTAGGGGCTGGGGGTTTAGGGGTTTAGGGGTTTAGGGGTTTAGGGGTTTAGGGGTTTAGGGTTTAGGGTTTAGGGGTTTAGGGGTTTAGGGGTTTAGTGGTTGGGGGTTTAGGGGTTATAGGGTTTAGGGGTTTTGGGGTTTAGGGGTGTAGGGCTATGGGTTTAGGGTTTAGGGGTGTAGGGGCTATGGGTTTAGGGTTTAGGGGTGTAGGGGCTATGGGTTCAGGGTTTAGGGGTTTCGGGCTTATAGGGTTTAGCGGTTTAGGGTTTAGGGGTTTAGGGTTAAGGGCTATATCCTGGGCCGAGAAAACGGCGTGCAGTCCTGCACGGTCTAGGCTTTATCCTGGTTTCGGGCGCAGGAGCCGGGGTCCACAAAAAAGAAGCCAAAGCAGGGTGCGTTGTGCCTAGTTGCTGAGTTCTTAAGCCCCCAAAGGTTTACACTTTCAGTTGTATAGGGGGTAATAATATCCCCAAAAGTGTAAAGTGTATCCACTCAGCTACTAAGAAACAAAGGTTTCCTGCCCTTGTAACACCACTATAATTAGATTCGATCCCTTAAAGGAACCCCTTATCGTATCCTGAATCCGTCGGGAAGCGGATCCGGTGAGCTTTCCCTCCAGCTTCGACTGGCGGCTGGAGATGCCATGGCTTTGCTGGATTTGAAAAGGGCTTAGGGTTTGGGTTTAGGGGTTTAGGGTTTAGGGTCGTCGACGATACCTTACTCTAACCCTTAGGCTCTAAGGACTCATATTCGGAGGCTTTTGAGCCCAAAGACCACACTATTTACGGCTCTTGGGCTATTTTGAGCCTTAGGTTAAGGGCCCATGTCCCGATGTAGGTTAAAAGTATTCCTGTAGGATCCACGCATGCATTATACAAGCACATGGGCCTCCTGGGGTTAACCAGGTAGGCCACAGCGACTCAGCCGAATCTGAGAGTATCAGAGAAATGTGTCAGAATGGATTACCTTATAACCCTGAATAACCTGCCTTTTCAGGGTTCCATGCTATGATGTTCCTTATATAGGTCCTTAGAAAGTGGCCCCAAATGTTGGCAGTTCAGTGATTTAGGTTGTCAGGGTTAGGACAACCCAAGACTAAACCTGGAACGGTTCAGGGCTTTGGGTTGTAGTACTATCCACTGCAAGCCATCTTCAAACTCAGCCCTCCGGAGGTGGTACTTGGAGATTCATGGGTAGTTATAATAAGGAGGGTTATAAGTAGGTAACTATACTTATAACCCATATTAGGGGACTTATACCCATGAACCTCCAAGTAGGTGTTGGCGAAGGCCTAAGCATGCCTGACGAAACTTCCGGTACAGCCACAAGCGGACAAAGCCCAAGGTGGCCAACCTTCCCTTTGACTCCAACGAGGCTAGCTCTGCGTGATGGAGGCATTAACCATAGTCCGCAGAGTTTCGAACCTTGCAATGTCTCCTTCTTCAACCCCCTAAAAGAGTGCAGGGGAGACCCTAGCCGGACAAACTCAGAGCTCTGTTTTCGTACAATCTCGAAGGTTTCCGGCTTGGCGACAGACTCCGACAGCCTTGAGTTGACCTCAACTTGTCAACCCCAAATAACCTACATGTTTTAAAGACTTGTGCTGTGCAAGGAAATCAGATTCAGGAGCCCTAAAAACCTACCTGTTTAGGGACCTATACTAGGAAATCATGCTCAGAAGCCCTCACAAGAGGTTCTCGATTTCTTGTTCGGTGGTGAGGGTTTGAAGTGAGAGCGAGTGCCTGACAGGTCCGTGGCGACACACCCCCGTCCTTCTGAATCTCAGGAGCTATACTATCTACCATACTTTACCGTCCATCTGTCACCCGGTCATCATCTAAGGAAGCAGCACTTCATAACAATCTAGCCTTCAACCCTTTCATACTCTTCCCTTCTTAGTCGAGGCTTCAAGGTGGTCGGAATGGTGTCTGTCCTGGACATCGTGGTGGGCTGGTCTCACGTCCAAAGCCGGGCTTTATAAACGGATTCTGCATCAACCAGCGCAGTGCTCCCCAACAAAGGGCCCCACGCTCAGCGTGCTGCATTGCCGGAGCGCAGTTCCAGAGACTCCGAAATCCGTAAGGTCTTGTAGTTTGTGGGTTTAGGATAATCCCTCTGCTGAATGAAGCTATATTCGTGTCGAGAAATGACAAGCACCAACGTGCCTTTGAGAGGCTTCTGGGTACTTCTCTGGTGCCAGAAACCATAAACAAGGACTTGACTTGGACCCACCTGCCGGGGATTCACAGCACCCTAGCAGCTGGGTCACGGGCAAAGCGTGCGGCTTAATGATCAATAGCCCAGCAACTAGACGACTAGGCTCCTAGGTTGATTATTACTCTATACCCCCCTGAGAACCATAATGAAAATGTTAATTAAAGTTTATGGTTTCTTGGGTGTTGTATGAACAAAATATTTAACAAAAAATCCTACGGAGACTGTAGTCTTATTGTGAATGCTACTGCATTGGAGTCTCTGGATTAGGAAAAACCGCGGGAACTGACCCAGCGGTCACAACTTCGGCTTTTGGCACCAGGGCATGTCACGTGACCCCACCACCCGCCCTGCCAGATGGAATTAGGGTTTAGGGTTATAGGGTTATAGGGTTAGGGTTTAGGGTTTTGGGTTATAGGGTTATAGGGTTATAGGGTTATAGGGTTATAGGGTTATAGGGTTTAGGGTTTTGGGGTTTATAGGGTTCGGGTTTCGGGGGCTGTGGGGAAGAAGGGTGTGGGCCTGAGGGTTCAGTGGGAGCCACTTCGGAGACCCGGACTACACCGCGACCCGTTGACAAAGAACCCCCGAAAAGGTCGCCCAAGCCAATGTATAATACTACTAATGACTCGTGGTACTAGTGGCCTTATATTAGTACTAGATCTAGTACTACAACACTATAAGGATTTGAGGCTGGGGAATCTCGGGCTGTGACTTGTGGCGCAGGAAAGGGGCCATGAGTGTTCAGTGGTGGGTCTCAGTCTGGATTTGCAGCTGTATGGTCTTGAGAGTAGCCGCTTGCTTGGGGCGCAGAGACGTAAGAGGGGGTAAGTCGCTTGAACCTTGTGTTGTCCGCAGAGTGCACTGCACACCATGCATATATATATATATATATATATATATATATATATATATATATATATATATATATATATATATATATATATATATATATATATATATATATATACATATATATATATGTATATGTATATGTATATGTATATGTATATGTATGTATATATATATATATATATATATATATATATATGCACATATTTTGAGGGGGGTTGGACGACATGTAAAAGATCTTTGTCTTTGCCACATTGATTCTAAAACCCATAAACCCTAAAACCCTAAACCTTGGACCGTAGACGCTTAATCCTCAGACACATTCGGGGTTCCCTCGCGGATGAGCATGTGGTGAGGGCCTGGGTCTGTGCCCAGTCCGGTTGTCACAGGCACAGGCTTTGAACCTTTCACCTGAAACTCGCGCTTCGAGAAGAGACACCCTGTTGGGGAATCGTCTGAGCCACTAACGTCTGCTGACGCAGCGTCGTCTTCAAAACATGGCAACCGCCCACGCTCTCAAGGCGCAGCGAAAAAGCATGTCATTTCGAAGCTTTGGGTTCTGTTCTCCCTGGCCCTGAGGCTCCCTTCCAGGGCCTGGCAAGGAAGTAGTGGCTTACCCCTGCAGTGCACAGAGTCACGCCCCAGAACACACCGGCACCGACCAGAGGCTCAGGAAAGGCTTGGTAGAGAAGCGCTTGAAGGGCGTGGGGAAGAAATGTAAACACCCCAATGACAATGTAGCCGACGCAAGTGGCCAGTGAGCTGAAGAGCAGTGACTTCGATTGACAGGTCTCCATCAAGTAGGCGATGATCCTGATCATGATCAAGAAGTGCGTTGGCGTGACCCACAGAAACCAAGCCATGGTGACAACCACTACGGAGGCAGCATAGCTGTAGGCGCCACCATGTGCCCGGGCTGCGATGGCATCCAGCTGTCCCCAAAGTATACACGTCGTCATCCCAACCTGAATCAGACGGTTCTTGAATACTGGTTAATCTAGGGGCCTTAATTATAGTTCCCTAAACTATTTTGGGGGCTTCCTTATTGCAAACATAATACAATGGGCCCCAAAACCCTATTCTAATTAATGAGCCCTAGGTTACTGCTCTGGTACTACTCTGGGGACCTCACGCGAAATATTGGATCCTGTATGCATCAAGGATCTGAACCCCCTCCCGCCCTCTCGGTATCTCCTCCCATGGGGGCCCATGTGACAGCATTCACGAACGACGGTGGCCGGGTTCCGTTTGTGGCCCGCGACAACATCAAACTCTAACAGTAGCGCTTATCTTGAGGAGATATGTAACCATCCAGGCGCTCCAGTATGAATCAACTCACACATTTTCCTACTACGAGTATCCTCCTGTAGGAAGGATACCCCAACACGAAAAAGGTCACAGGGTACTGCTGTCATTTCTGTAGACCATACCTGTCGCGGCAGTATCTACAAGCAACGAAAACCAGCGAGAGCAGGCTGTAGCAATAGCCCAGTGGCAGCAGATGCAGCAACGACAGCAAACACCAACGCACAGAACACTGATGCGACTCTTTAGCACCTCTTTACTTTTGCTATGACCACTTTTGCTGTGCCACTACACCCCTACCATCTCCACCGCAACCACCACCACCACCTCCTTGCCAGCGCCCGTCAACGTTCTACTCTACATTCTTCTCAAGCAAGCGGCCGTCCACTGATACCCGAGAGGAAAGCGGCTCACCTGCTCCTTAGTGGCTGAGTTCATAAGCCCCCCAACAGTGTACACTTTCCGTTTAATAGTGGGTAATATTACGCCAAACAGTGTAAAGTGTATCTACTCAGCTACTAAGGCTCAATGAAGGCATCGTGCACATGGGTGCGGACACCAACCTCGAAGTCTTCTACAGAGCCGTACCACTCGACAATGCAATCTGCGATTATCTCCTTGGATGCTTACAGAACATAGTACGTTTAGGGGGATGGTTAGAGATCCCACTAAGTCTTATGGGGTTCTGAAGAGATCGCGTCTTTTCTCAAACTCCCGCATATGAAAGTATGAAAAACACAAAGCTTACACGTGGCTCACGCAAGCAGACCATGGTGAAGTAAGGCCTTCACTGCCAGCATCGGGCAATAGCGCCCTAGTTAACAAACGCATGAGTATTGCTCAGAAGTTTAGGGTAGGGCCCCCAACATGCGCTCATGAAAACAATGGTTTAGATCGTACCCCATTTGAGTAAGCCAAACCAAGGCTCCTTGTCGCAAGGCATGGGTTTGCCTGCTTGGTCCAGGTGGTTTACAGAACAACAGTAGCACTTGACCTTCTGCATACTGAAGTTGCGAAACTGCTTCTCGGCATCCATGACTTTTCGCCAGAGCCGCTGGATAATATAGATGAGCGGAAATTGAGACCCTGCGAACAGGACAATCCGCATGAAGGCGACGACATCTGTATCAGGCAGGGCAGTTTCAAACAGCAATGTGAGGGCGGAATTCGCGCCGACCAGGAAGGTCAGGGGAACCAAAACAGAAGGTTTGATGACCAAGTGCTTCTTGAGCGAGCTTGACGGATCTTCGCGATGACCGTGGATAAATGCTGCAAGCTCAAAAACGCACCAAAGCCTCAAGAAGCAAACGCATAAGTCTGAGACCGAAAAGCTTGTGGAATCTTCTTTGTGTTGGTACTTTCGCCCTACGAAGGCTTGACTTCATCGCTTGTTATTCGTCGGCCTCAACCCTAAACCTTAAATCCTATAACCCTAAACCCTAAACCCTTAAACCCTAAACCCTAAACCCTTAACCCCAAACCCTAAACCCTTTAAGAGTAGGTACAGCGGAAGGCTGACCAGGCCTGGAGAGGTAGGACGGATCCCACACGACCACCAGCGTCCGAGACTTCTTCAACAAAGCGCCGAGATTTATGATGCCCTCTGCTTTCAACCTTCCGGTGGTTACCCAGAGGCCCCAAAGTAGTTCCTTTTTGGGACTACCTTATAGGATTCTATAATTCTATAATATATGAACCCCCAAAAAGGAACTACTTTGGGGCCTAAGGATTTGGGGTTTTGGATCCCCCCTGCTTTCAGCCTTCAAGGGGCGGAGTTTGAAAGTCTGCGGCTTTGAAGGCAGAGCTTTATGATTTCATGTAAACCCCGGACTAACTACCACCTTCCTTCATGGCCCCAAAATATTGGGATTTCTGCTATCCCTGGAAGAGGAGAGGGTTTATAAGAATCATGGGTTTACATTCAGGTTCATGCCTGCAGTTTCGGCTTAATTTAATTAAGTGCTCCGCCTGGGCTTGAACCCCTGTAGGCCTTGGAACCCTCTGCTCCCAACTCCATAAACTATAAACTCCAGACCTTTCTGAACCCCAAGCTCCAAAACCCCAACCCTAAATCCTAAACATCAACAACCTAGAGTCCTAAAGTCTATATAGGTCCTAGGTCCTAGACCCCCGCAACTACCCTCTGTTCTACCCCAACATACCCCAACACCCGCGATTCATGACTATGAGGCCTCTATTAAAGGGCCCTTTAATAAGTCGGGGTCCTGGAAAAAGCAGCCTCAGAGACCCCCTAAACCCCAAACCCCTAACCCCTACCTGAACCTACCAAAACCTACTTTTTTTGTAGGGTCCCTATAACCTCCATATTAGGGTTTTTAATAAGAGCCTCCAAAAAAGTAGGGTTTAGTAATTTAAGGTAACCCCTACCAACAGAACACCCTCGAACCCGAAGCCAGAACTTCCTGGAGAATTGCCCGGCCACCTGGACGACACCTCGCTTAGAACCATATTCTCTTGGCCCAGCTGACTTCTGAACCCCTCCTAAAAGTTCAACTTTTCGTCTCCTTATTATAGTTCATACAGAAATCCAAACAGTTAAAGTCCTAAGAGTCAGCCAGAAGAACGCCAAGTTGGGTTCTATATGAATCAAAAAACCCTAAGGAGACTATTGTGGAGAAAAAAGATGGTGAACTACAGAAGGTCCAGTAGAAGCAGGCTCTAAACCCAAACTTTCCAACCCCCATCCTGCACCCAAAACCCCAAACCCGAAAGCTTAAACCCTTAAACCCCGAAACCCCAAACCCTAAACCCCAAACCCGAAACCACTTCCGGCTCCCACCTGCCATCACCTTGGTGGATGCATGTACGATCCAGGAAGACCTTCGCATGACACAAAGGGCTGCAGGTCTGGTTGCTACTGCTACTACTGCTACTGCTACTGTTGGTGATATAAATCCTGCATTACCTTAAGGACCCTAAACTAGAGGAAATATGGTATATTCCATATAATGGGTAATGCAGGATTTATATCATCAACCGCACCACCACTGTCATTCCTGTTGTTACGATGAACTGGAGGAAGCCTAAACCAAAAGTCTTGGCAAAGACAGACCCACCTTGCTAAGAACAGCCAGCCCCGCCTTGCTGGAGGACTGCCAGAAGAGCAGGAGAAGCAAGGCTGAAGCACATCCGCTCAGATTCGCCCATGGGCTGAACCTGAACCTTAGTTTCAAAGGGTGAGGCTGGATGAGCGGAAAATCTGTTTAGAGCATGGACTAGATGGATGGCGGCTTGTTATAAGCCAAACCCTAAACCCTAAACCCTAAACCCTGCATATCTAGGATCCTACTCAGGGTACCGAAATGAGGAACTACAATGGAGACAATAGGTTCCTAAACCCTTAACCCCTAAACCCTAAGCCCTTATAACCCCTAAACCCTTATAAGCCCTAATAGGGCTTATAAGGGTTTAGGGGTTATAAGGGTTTAGGGTTAAGGTAAACCCTTACAAGCCCTAAACTAAACCCTAAACCCCTAAACCGGCTTATGATCTCCGCCCGGAGGCTCTCCACTGTAGCCAGGCCCCTGGAGGCGTGGCTCCTTGTACCTGGGGTTTAGCAGTTTCAGGGTTTGGGGTTTAGGGGTGTAGGGTTCAGGGTTTGGGGTTTAGGGTCTAGGGTTTGGGGTTTAGGGTCTAAGGTTTAGCAGTTTCCCAAAGAGCTCAATGCCCCTTAATTGAGGAATATAGCTTAAATCATAATGTGAAGCCCTACACAATTTAAGCCATGTTCCTTAATTGAGGGGTATTGGACTCTCTGGGTTTATGGTTTGGGGTTAGGGGTTTAGGGTTAAGGGTTTGGAGCTTAGCAGTTTAGGGTTTGGGGTTTAGGGTTTGGGGTTTAGGGTTGGGGGGTGAAGGGTTTTCGCTCTTCTTCAACAACCGGGCCCCAACAAGTTCAAACTTTCTAAGATAGAGCGAATATATAAGGCCAAAAAGTTGAATTATCGTTTTAGGGTTTCGGTTTGATTCGGTTTGGGGTTTAGGGATCGGGGATTCTGAAGAACAACATCGCAGGGTCCTTGAAAGGCACAACACAGCTGCTCAGAGCGACGCTGATGACAAGAAACATTGGGGCAAAGCGGCAGACGAACAGAAGACCAGAGAGGAACTGTTGATAAAATAAATCCTGCATTACCTTAAGGACTCTAAATTATGGGAATTATGGTATATTCCTGATTATGGGAGTTTCCGAAAACAGGGGACCCTAATCTAGCACCCTAAATAGTAGGTTCCTTATATTATACGGACCCCAAACTAAGGTACCCTAATTTTCGGAAACTCCCATATCATCAACCGAAGTAGTAGGACGAGAAGCCCAAAGGGTCGAAAGTGGTCATGGTCCTAAGGGTTTAGGGTTTAGGGTTTAGGGTATAGGGTTTAGGGTCCTAATATACCTTAACCTACCAAAGCCTACAAAAAGTACATTCCCTATAGATTCCCTAGAGGGTCCATATATACTACCATTATGGAATTAGGCCGCCCAAAGCCATAATAGGGATGGTCTTTTGGGACCTATAATTCCATAATGGTAGTATTTATGGACCCTCTGGCCTCTGGGTTCCATATTAGGGTTTAGAATAAGACCCTACAAAAAGGTATGGTTTGGTAGGCTAATGCGGCTAAGGTAGTGGTCAATTAACCCTAAACCCTAAACACCCTAAACCCTAAACCCTAACCCTAAACCCTAAACACCCTAAACACCCTAAACCCTAAACCCTAAACCCTAAACACCCTAAACCCTAAACCCTAAACACCCTAAACCCTAAACCCTATTATGGTTTGATCAGGTTCAAGTCCTAACTGGTTTGTTCGCGAAGCATTATAGGATCCTTAAGGGGGGGGTGGTTCAAGGGGGGAGGGTACTAGGGAGCTTTGGGGAACCTTAGGGAAGCTTAGGGAGTATTGGGGAATAATGGGGATTACTAGGTTACCTACCCCCCTTGGACCACCCCCCCTTAAGGACATCCTAAGCAAAATCAGAAAGGTCCCAGGCACCATCCAGGCAGAACGTCCGCATACGAAAGATATGCCACGAGCGTGGCTATCATTGTACCGCCCACACAAGCAGCCCGGCCATTTTTCAGCATGAGGAGCAGCCACACCTGCGGGGCTTAATGAAATCTCGGAAACTGCCCACGAAACCTCTGCCCCACTGCCGTATGAACAAATACCCTGATCTGAAGACTGTTGCAAGGGCCGGCTGCGAACGGGAAAACCTGCATTCCTTTTCCCGGAACCCCTCAACTCCAAGCACTAAACATGGTAATGTAGGAACCTGATTCAGAAACCGTGGGTCCTTATTATTAGGGTTCTTGAATAAGGATCCTAATATATTGGGGTTATAGACCCAGAGTTTCTTAATCCCTAGTTGCTGAGTTCACAAGCCCCCCCAAAGTGTGCACTTTCAGTCTTATAGGGGGTAATATTACCCCCAAAAAGTGTAAAGCGTATCCGCTCAGCTACTAAGAGTCAGGTTCCTACATTTCTACACCAATAACTCAATATCGCCTTCAGGAAGACAATGCTGTGCCAGCTATGCGACCAGAACTCATCGATGGAGTCCACCTGCATAATAAAAGGGTCGCTTTAAAGGGGGGGGGGGTCCTTTAAAGGGTTCCTTTATGCGTTCCCTGAAGGGTTCTATAAGGGCTACGATAAGGGTTCAGGGTATAGGGGGCGCCCATTATACTATACTTATAATAAGCAACCCCCAAAATAGTATTGGTAACTTTTTAGGCCCGTATGTTTCCCCGACCCACTCCGGCAAGGCAAGGCTGGGTAAGAGAAGCAAAGTGTGGTGCCTTTTCTACGCGGTGAATATTAGTAGTGGGCTGGGATGTAGTAGGGTTATCAATACCATTTGGATCACTGTAAAGAAAAAAGAGGGATACTAGCCTTTGCCATGATAGAGTTAAACCCTACACTCTGCACTTATCTAACTTCAAGAGTAATGCTCTATTGCATATGCCAGGGCGCCCAGGACAGCGGTACGGTACAGAGTCACGCATGGTCAATGGTACGGTACAAGCGGCAAGCATGGTACGGTACGGAGGTACGCATGGTACGGTACAAGCAGTGCGCATGGGTACGGTGCGAGAGGCACGCATGGCACAGTACAACAGGTTCGGTACAATGATACATGACCTGTACCACATTTAGCATGACATGCGTGCGACTGTACAGTACCATGTACTGCACCCCATGTAACATCGTACCGTACCCCATTTTGCATGACATGGACCCCATTCAGCATAACATACGTTATGCTAAATGGGGTCCACGTCATGCTAAATGTGGTACGGTACGATGGTACATGGGGTACGGTACGATTGTACATAGGGCACGGTACGATGGTACAGGTACCCTCGAAGCGTCCCTTATGTACCCTCGAAGCGTCCCCGGCGTTACCCTCGAGCCGTCCCCTATGTACCCTCGAAGCGTCCCCTATGTACCCCGGAAGCGTCCTCTATGTACCCTCGAACCGTTCCCTATGTATCATTACGAAGCGTACCATGACGCATCTGGTCAATAGAAACCATATGTTTCGTTGCTCTTGAGGGTTGATAACTCTACACCCTAAACTAAAATGTTGTACACGGTGCGGCAAACCCTATCCGGCAAGACCCAAGGCCCCAAAATCCTAAAGCCAACGCTGTACTGGCAGCAGTATTCGGACTGTCGGCACCCCAAGACAAGAGATAAAGCCAAAGCCAAACAAGGGCAGTTACACTACAAAGCCAAACGCAACACCTAGGGGAAGTCTTGACACAACCAAGCTTCACCGCTCTTCCCTCACATGCAGCCTCTCGTTGTCACTGTCCTTCATCATCACCACCATGCTCACCATCACCATCATAATTCTCGTTTCCAACGTCAACTCCGTCGGTGCTCATCATCACGCCACTCGACCTTCACCACCCCCAACTCTTATCATCACCATCTTCAAGAACACCACCACCAACATCATTCTCGATAGTCACCGACATCACAGCTATCATCCTCAGAATAGTTCTCTGTCTCCTGCAATCCTCATCTTTAATAAGATATGCTTGTCGTAGTCATCTCGATGATCCTGATCCTCACGATCAGCATGTGTCATGGCGCTCACCATCCTCATCCTCACCGTCATCACAACCGATGTTCTTCCCTCATAAGGACGCTTAGGGGGTAGAGGGGAGGGGGGTAGGACCGTAACACCCATAATAAGGACTTCAAAAGGCCTAGTTAAGGCAGTATAGTCCCCTACCCCCCTCCCCCTACCCCCTAGGGGTCCCTATGGCTCCCCCCGCAGCCAACGCCATGGTCATTGTCATCAGTGCTAGTTGTTCAGCAGCAAGCGCATGCAATACCACTGCAGCCACAAAGAAACCAGAAGCAAATGTTTAATTCAATGTACAGTTTCCTCTTTGCCTTTCACCTGCCCGATTTATGAGAACCCAGGAGAAGTGGCATTTTGTGAGAAAGCCTGCAGGAACTCCAACAACAAGAGTAAACACGCAGCTAGTAGTGGAGATTCAGCTGAATTCCAAAAGGTATGAAAGGATCGAAGTACAACACATGACATGGGATCCAAAAAGCAGACAGACTCACAGTGCTGCTCAAAAGAACGGCCGAACTGCATGGAATGTGGTTTGGCAAAAATGGCTGTGGTGCTAAAGCACCCTTTCGGTTTAGGGTTTAGGGCTTAGGGTTCAGTACAGCAAAACGCTTTACCCTAAACCCTCAACCCTGCTGAACCCGGCCTGGAAACTCATAGAGTAAAGCTCGTTTGCATTCATGTTGGTCCCTCGGAGAACTTGGCCAAAGCTTCTCAGCACCGCCCAAGCAGGCACGGCACGTACGAAGCTGGGACAGGTACCTAAGCAGGATTTTTGTCTGGAAATCAGCTACAAGTACCGCCCAGAGGGTCCATACATACTACCATTATGGAACTAGCTCCCAAAAGACCGTCCCTGTTATGGTTTTCGAGACCCAGTTCCATAATGGTAGTACATGTGGACCCTCTGGGCCGCGATAATTGTGACATGGGCACAACACTGACCACAGAGAAGAGGCCTCAATCATTAGAGTTAGGGTTCTGGGGTCCATTCTACGATAGTTACAATAAGGAGCCGCTCAACAACAGTATTGGTAATCATTTGGGCCCCTATAATAACGGAGGTTTAGGATGATAGTATAGTAAGGAATTTATTGAAATCTTTTTCTTATTATCCAGGCCCCTACATTACCTGTTTCCAGACCCCTAAATCCTACACCCCAAACCCTAAGCCCTACACCGCCGAACCCCAGATCCTAAACCCAAAAATTCCATAAACCCCTATAGAACCTCAACTCCCAACTGTGTTTTCAAACCTGGGGATGAAGGGTTTAGGTTGCACAGATTCAGGGTTAGAGGGGTTTAGGGTTTACGGCTTCGGGTGGGATTGCAGAACCCGTCATACCCGGGGTTTAAAGCTTCGGGCTTACATACCTTTATCATATCAACCCTCGACCCCAAGCCCCTTACCTTAAGGACGAAATGAACCCTAGAAAGTAGTTGCCCTATACCCATATACTATGAATCCCTATATGGTATATGAGCCTTAAACCCTTTTAGGGTTCATTTCGTCCTTAAGGTACAAAGCCTGCAGTCTGGATGCATTCCATGGCAGACACAGCACTGACCGCCAACTGCCTCTGCTCTTGCAGCTGCAGATGCTCTAGCATAACTTCAGGCTGTGTCCTTGGCCGAGCAAAATAGGCAAGCATCTAGCACAGTCACCCTACCAGTCGGGGTCTAGACCCAAGAGTAACCTACGAATAAAAAGGGTGCCCTTTTTGGTTGAAAGGGTGGTTATAAGAGAACATAAACCCAAAAAAGGGAATAAGGGCCTACTCGGGCCTACTCTGGGTCCTAGGGGTTAGAGGCTTAGGAACCCGGATCCGAACCGGAGTTGAAATTACGGTGCTGAGTGCTGTGCTGCCTGGAGACGGATCCGGTGAGCTTTCCCTCTGCAAGCTTGGAGAAACATCGTCGACGGTGCCGGCTGGCGTTGCGAGGGGCGGTGAAACATCACCGGCTGCCATGGCTCAGTGAAGAAGATGATATGCCTAAGGCAAAAAGCCTCTCCACAGCTCCTCAGCCGAATCTGAGTAACCCGGCGGAGCGGCCTCCCTCCCTCAATCTGTTGAGATGTGTGGTTGAGGGATATGTGGATGCCTTTTAGGGCTTGGGGGATATCGGGCTTTGTTAAGGTCTAAAAGTGGAAGCACACGTTTAATCTACTTGGAGTGCAGCTATGTGAAACAGACATACGTAAGTAATATAATATGTTATGTCATATTGTTTTATGTCATACTATATCATGTTACGCTAATTTGTAGTATATATGATGTATACATACTACATCAACAATCGATCGCCGATGGAAGCCCTCAGGCTGGGCTCGATACGCGCTTGCAGCATCAGCTCCTCCTTCTGAATTTGCCCGCTCACCTCACGGTTTAAGGTAAAAGCCAGAAAGCTGGAATATGATTATCCTAACCCTTCTATGGTAAATTATAGGGTATCCTACCATGAAACCATATTCCAACTTTCTGGAGTTCCCTGTAGGGTGTAGGGTGCTAGGGTCAACATGTCTTTTGGGGATTAGGGGTTTTTGGGTTTAGGGTTTAAGGTGTGGTGTTTTGCAACAGGCCCTAAACCCTAAACCCTAAACCCTAAACCCTCAAAGGCTCAGGGTCTGGAGATCACAGGTTTGGGTTGAGGGTTTGGGGGGTTTTGCAGTAGCGTCCACTCAACGGTTTAGGGTTTGGGGGTATGGGTGGTTGTCAAAGAGTCAAAATGATGGTCCCTTTTTGGGTACCCTAAATATTAGGTGCCCGTATTTTATTAGGGACCCAGAAAGTGACCAGAATTTTGACAACCACCCATATGGATCTGGGTTTATGCTTTAGTGTTTTCGGGTTGGAAGTCTAGGATTAAGCGATCAGCTGTTTGGGGGAATTCGGGCTTATCGTAGAAAGGGCTGGCATGGTTGACTTTTAGGGTTTCGGGCTTCGTGCTTGGGTTCAGCAGTTGCGGTTCGGAGGCTAGGATTGCAATACCCTAAACCCTGAAACCCCAAACCCGAACCCTCAAACCCCAAACCCTCAAATCAAACCCTGAACCCCAAACCCTATGATCCCTGCACCGAGAAACCCCAAAGCAGAGGTCAGTCTTGGTTGCAGGTCTAAGGCCTCAGGCTCAGTGGCGTGACTTCGGAGTGGAAGGTCCGTGGAGTAGGCATCCGGCTTGGGAGTAAGTATCGCACGGTTCAGAGTTTTCAACTAGATCGAGCTTTGTTGTAAACACCGTCTACCTCTGAGCCAAGCCCTTGGCAACTTAACCGTGCTAACCCTAAACCCTAAACCCTAAACCCCTAAACCCTAAACCCAAGCTAAGCTCTGTCATAGCCCGGAAACTGAAACCTGGCCCAACAAACCCCAAATGCCCTCCACAAACCAAAGGAACCCTCAAAAACACCCAAAACCGGCTCCCACCCCTATAAACCCTGCAACCAGGGTTTAGGGTTTAGGGGTTTAGGCGGTTTAGGCGGTTTAGGGTTCCCAGAGACTCCAATATCCCTTAATGAAGGAATATCCCTTAAATTATGGCAGGATCCCTTATATGATTTAAGGTATATTCCTCAATTAAGGGATGTTGGAGTCTCCTACTATAGATCCCTTGTAGATCCCTTAAAGGAACCCTGGGTATTCCTTGGAGTCTCTGGGTTTAGGGGAGCCCGATTGGGCCTCTGCGACGATGGGCGTCCAGGCGTTTGATAGGAACTCCGAAGCCTGCCGAGCTCAGGACTTAGACGGTTTAGGGTTTAAAGTAAAAGCCAGAAAGTTGGAATATGATTATCCTAAACCCTTTATGGTAAATTACAAGGTATCCTACCCTGAAACCATATTCCAACTTTCTGGAGTTCCCTCTAGGGCTTAGGGCGTTTATCCTAAAACCTCCTCTAAGTATTAAGGCACCTTAACACTAAAATAGTATACTACCCTTGTAGATCCCTTCTAGTAATCTCTACACACCCCTTTATCTCGGATGCCCAGTAACCTAGGAATAAAAAGGGCCCCCTTTTTGGTATTGCGTAACTATATAAGGAACCTAGGACTACAAAAAGGGAATAAGGGTACTACTGGGCATCCTAGGCTATATGGTGTTCTCGGGGGCTTTCTTGAAGGGGTTGCTGGTTTAGGGTTTAAGGTTGTATGGTGTTCAGGGGTGCTTGGGTTTCTTAACGGGTTTTGCTGGGTTAGAAATTAGGGCTTTGCGGCGCTTAGGGTTTTTTGGGTTTTCTGTAGGGCTTGATGGCGTTGTTCAAGAGTGGGGCTTTAGAGATACTTGTATGGATGAAAACCGAAGATTTGGCAGGCTGTTGTACGGTTTTTTGTAAGTCTTAGTAGGGTTTTATGAAGGGCTCGATGAAGTAGTACCGGTGTACATAGAGATCACGACTACAAAGACGTAAGAGCTGGGAACAACGGTAGGATAATTTTTTAGGGGCATAGCCATAGCGATGGTTATAGAGAGCTCTGCGGGGATACTGCGACTAATATATCCGATCGCTACGGGTTTAACATGATTTAATCTTTTGGCAACAACCCCTGAGGGTCCGTGTACCCATATGTATACACATTGGCCCTAAGGCAGTCCCTACATAGGTCCTTTAGGGCCAAAGCATATGCTACAGGGGTACATGGACCCTTAGGCAACCATAGGGGCCAAACAAAGCACATAAGCATAAGCATTTTATGGGGATATCCCTGCCATGAAGGGCTTCATTATAAGGGGGTTTATATGGGATATCCCTATCCGAATTTTTGCTTATGTGCTTTTTTGGGGCCCTAAACCAGAAGAAGACCGCCAACTACGTACCACGGCCTCTTTCCGGCGGAACTTCTCCGCGAGGACCAGCGGCGTTGGTGCTAGATCACAGCGATCGGCCTCCACGCCCTGCCGGAAGCCAGGCTCCCAGAGACTCCGATATCCCTTATTTAAGGAATATGCCTTGAATCCAGAAAGTTGGAATATGGATTTATGGTAGGATCCCCTATAACTTACCTTAAAGGGGTTACGATAATGATATTCCAACTTTCTGGCTTCTACTGTACGGGATCCTACCATAATTTCAGGAATATTCCTTCATTCAGGGGTATTGGAGTCTCTGGACTTCGGGCTCTACCTAGACCCCAAGTGGTACTTCTTGGGGGAGGGGGTATTCTAAGTAATCTATTCTGTGGCAAGAGATAGGTTTGAAGAACTATATAAATATAAAAGTGCTTAGTTCAAGGGGTGTAGGATTCGAGCTACAGCGATTCATTCAGTAGGAGCTAAGGTTGGTCCAAGAAACCTGGTTCCTCGCGCTTCGTCGCTTTTTTTGAGGCTGACCCTGAGGGCCCAAGTAGTCCTCACTCCTGGTTTCCTGTGCCTGAGATGATCCCAAATGGAAGCGATAGCTGCCCTTTCAGGAAAGCACGATAATTCGAGCATTTAGGGCTTCAGGGTTTGGGGTTGGATAGAACAGTTTGAAGCTTGAAGTCAAAACCCAGTGCTCACCTCCCTTCTGGGGCTCTAAAGTCTAGAGCAAGCCTAACATGAAATTACAATTTAGCAAAAAGCCCAAAGCTCTTCACCTCTGAATCCGTCGAATACCCACCTCGTCTCATCAAGCAAACACCTAAACACTCAGAATAAGGCCCTTCCACTGGCCTCCGTGTCCTTGGTTCCTTTCTCCTGGGCTGTGGGCTGTGGGGCGTCAAAAACGAGCCTGCGACAGAGCCTTGTTGATCTGCTTGTTGTAAGCAGGGCTCAGCGTTGTCTGGGACTTAGGATTACTTTAAGGATCATGGGACTTAGGAACTGGGGTTATAAATAAATAAGGTAACTATACTTAAAACCACCAAGAAGCCCACTTATAACCTGAATTACTAAGTCCCATGATCCTCCAAGTAGAGGCTTGCTCTGAGTTAGGGGTCCCTTATGCCAGGCCGAGTCGCATACTCGAATCGCATTTTCTGGTGTCGGTCTACCCAGAGCACCTCGTGGGGATCGGCTGCAGAAGGCACTCCGAACACAAGGTGTCACCTTCTGCTTGTAGTAGCCAGCTTAAAGAAGCCCTTGCAGAGTGTAAACGGCCAGATACTCAGACAGTATGAGTATGTAGGCCTCCTAGGGAAGCAAGAGATGGCGAAATCAGGGCTAAGGGTCCCCCCCAAAAAGCCTAACATCTAAAACCTGGCCTAGGGGTTTAGGATTCGGTTTCAGGGTTTGGGATTTGGGGTTTAGAGTCTAGAGTTGTACAAGAGTCAACCCTTCTGCCGGCAGGTCACCTTGCCGAGCACATAGCCTTGGCACATGTTAAGCGTTGGACAGTAGGCGGGGTGTCGGGCTGAAGCGCTTCGGGCTCGCAGAATAGGACCCCCAAAAAGCACATAAGCAAAAATCAGGTTAGGGATATGCCATATGGGTGGTTGTCAAAATAAGGGTCCCTTTTTGGGTCCCTATTATAATACGGCACCTATTCTTTAGGGTACCCAAAAAGGAACCATATTTTTGACAACCACCTATATAAACCGCCTTCTAGTAAAGCCCAATATGGTACGGGTGCTCCTATAAAATGCTTATGCTTGTGTGCTTTCGGTGTCCCTGACAGAAGGACACTGCGGTTTAGGCTTCGGTTTAACGAGTCGGGGCGGGGTGAGTGGGCTGAAGGAGCCGATCTCAGGTATCATTCTGGCCCTAGGATGCCCAATAACCTAGGGATAAAAAAAGGCTCCCTGTTGGGTATTGGGCAACTTGATTAGGAACCTAGGCCTGCAAAAAGGGGAATAAGGGTACTACTGGGCATCCTGGGGCCGGAAGTCTTGCCTACCCGAGGGCTCCAAAGTAGTTCCTTTTTGGGTTTCATATTTAGAATCCTATAAGGTAATCCCAAAAAGGAACTACTAAGGAGCCTCTGGGTACAAACCCGTTGAGCAAAATCTTGGCGAGAGGCGATCGCCGATGTGGCCCCGTACCACCTGGCTTGGGGATT